TTTTTTTTTTTTTTTACAGGCAGCGTGGACAGTGAGAGAGAGAGACAGAGAGAAAGGTCTTCCTTTGCTGTTGGTTCACCCTCCAATGGCTGCCACAGCTGGCGCGTTGCGGCCGGCGCACCGCGCTGATCCAAAGCCAGGAGCCAGGTGCTTCTCCTGGTCTCCCATGGGGTGCAGGGCCCAAGCACCTGGGCCATCCTCCACTGCACTCCCTGGCCACAGCAGAGAGCTGGCCTGGAAGAGGAGCAACCGGGACAGAATCCGGCGCCCGACCAGGACTAGAACCCGGTGTGCCAGCGCCGCAAGGGGGAGGATTAGCCTAGTGAGCCGCGGCGCCGGCCAGCCGTGGAATATTGAGTAGGGAGTGACACTCTGACTGGCGTTCCTGAGGATAGCTTTGATCACAGCTTGGAGGGTGTATCGGAAGCCATGAGAACTGCCTTTAGTTGAACTCTCAGACGAGAGAGTGGAGAAACTTTCTGTGACGTGAATTTGAGAGGCGGGGCGACAGGTAGAAGATGGCTGAGATTTTTGCTTGCTTTTAAAGGTGGGGTTGATACTTGTTTGCCTTGGGTGGATGGAGCCAGTGTAGCGCGAGCTGAAGGGTGAGGAAGGACGGAGAATAGCCGGCAGTGCCAGCCTGTTTGAGAGTGCAGAGCTCTGACCGTGGGCTTCCCTCCACTGGAGTCCCCTCCCGCTGACACAGCAGAGGAGGAAGTAGGGGCGGTGGAGACCAGGAAAGATTGTAACTGAGAGTTAGCGGAGGAGGGGGAGATTGGATTAGAAGAGGAGAGCTGGTCCAGGCGGCACGACGATGGCTTCACTGAGCTCTTGCTGTGCGCCGGGCATAAGCGCTGGGCGTGCAGGGTCGCGTAAAATAAACGTGTGCCTGTACGTGCTGCGTTCTAGGGGACACATGAACCCTCAGACAAGGTCTTCCACCCTCAGACTTAGCTTCCTCTTGTCACACTGCTTGTCCGTTGTTTTCTTTCCTTAAAAGAATGACTTCCTTGAAGAAATTGAAGTTTTTGTGCCCTAACCCTTGTTTCCTTAGTAGGTCCTTGGTAAATATCTCTTGAACGTTTCAATGAGTAGAAGACAGGGAACAAACCTGTTCCCCTGAACGGAGGGGACAGGGAAAGCATAGTATCAGAAATGTCTGTAAATGACCTTATTAATAATTGATACTGCCTGCAACTACAGAATTATATTTAGGGCCCTGTGGCAATTATTTCTTTCTTTAAACAAGGTTCCAGAATAGACAACACACGGTCAAGTATGTGGGGAGCAGTATCTGCCATTTAAAATTTGACCCACTTCATTTTTCTTAAAAGGATTATGGTAACATTTGAAGCAGTGACTTTTCTCATCATTTAAATGGTGTCCTCAGGATAGAATATCTCATTTGACATTATGTTTAAAATGTTTGTGTTTCACTTCTCTTCCTGTCTCCCACATTGATTATAGTCAGTAATCAAGTCCCTGAGATGACTTTGTAAATATCCATTTATTATATTTTTAAAAGTCAATAGTTTGCTGCTTATAATTAATTTACTATATCTTTTATTAGTTCTGGGTGGAACATTATGCTAAAAATTAAGTGACATAGAATTTTAAAAATTGAATGTTAAAAATACTGCAATTCATGTAACTTGTATTTTTTAAAACATATACAGCCCTGCCCCCATGTGCTAATGTGGTTTTTGACAGAATGTAACGATAAGAGTATTTGATGCTGGACTGAGTACTCTAGACCTTCCCAGTCCCATTGTCTGCTGACTTGTTTGCATCTTCAGTGGTGGGCAGTGGGAGTTAATGTTTTTTACCCTTTGATTTCTCTGCTTTTAGTTTGGATTATTCAAAAGTAAGTCACGTTTCATCTGAATCCTTTGAGACTTAAGATATGTTTGTGCACGGTTTTATGCAATGGTTCATTCCTATGTCCTGCAGGATCTCTATGACCTTAAGGACCAGATACAGGATGTAGAGGGGAGATACATGCAAGGGCTTAAAGAACTGAAGGTATCAAGGTCTCCTTTGTGGCCCCAGCCTGCTCTGTGTGCAGCAGTGTTGGTTATGGTGGTTCACAAGTTCTGTTAACCCCTTGCACACAGCTTTACTAACAGTGTCTGTCTCTCATGCATGTGCTTAACCTGCAATGCATAGGAAAGGCGAACTTTAAATCTCTGCTAATGTTTCAATGTTGAGTTTCGGGAATATTCAGTGAAGATATTATGCCATACAGGTTTAAAAACTTGTAAGTCATGTTCCTTGTGTCTTTGCTATACAAAATGAAATTGCCAGTTAAATCAAATTGGCAAATACTTACAAATATTCTAAGAATATTTTTATATTCTTCTCAGCTAATTGAAAAAGTATTGTATCACCTTTTTTTTTGTCGCCAAATTCAGTATTAAAAATGTGAGAGAGAAGCAACTAAGAAAGCATAACTACAGACATCCTCCCGGGAGGAAAGAGCATGAAGGCATGAGGCACAGGTTTTCTTTTGTTGAGTTTGTTTTTGCCTATACATCAAAAAGATATTACATACCTAGTGCCTCAAGGAATTTGGAGATAAATGTAAGTAGGCTTTTATCTGTTCTCAGCAAGGATAGCTACCAGTTTTCAATATAAATGTGTGAATCAGACATTTTGGGTTCTAAATGATATTAGTTATTTTTTAATTCATGTTTCATTATGAAGTTCAAGCCTGATCTTATGAAGGAACCAAAATGTGTTCTGATTTGAAATAGAAATGTACAGTAGCCCTCTGGAAAGCAAAGCAGGCATTCAGAAAGGCGGCTCAGGATGCGCCCAGAGGAGTAAGCGTCGCCCTCATGGACAGCATTCGTGGACACCCCCACCCCCACATGATCTAACATAGCTCGGCTGCCACTGAAAGCCTCCCTGAAGTGAGCTGGTCCATGGGGATTCAAGGTTAAGACTTGGGGACCCAAAAGATGGGAGGCTACAGGCAGTGCTGATCACACACTCTGGTACATGGCTTGGGGTGTCAGTACTCATCAGGAGCATCACAGAGGTGTCAGTACTCATCAGGAGCATCACAGAGGTCATCAGTACTC